CCACACCAACGAGGTACCAGTACCCAACAGCACCAAGGTACCAGTACCCACACCAATGAGGTACCACAACCCTAAAGTACTGGCAAGAACAGCTCCGAGGTGTCAGCACCAACAGCAATGACATACCAGTACCCACACCAACAAGGTACCAGTACCCACATGAACGAGTTACCAGTACCCAACAGCACCAATGGACCACCACTGAGGTACCACAACCCTGAAGTACCAACATCCTCCTACCACTGAGGTCCGACCCACAGCACCGAGGTACCGCGTTTACTTTTGCTTTTAGTTTCTCTTTATGTTGTTGTCTACGTCTCTTTTTGCTGTTTTACGTCGTTTCTAGTTTCTGTCGGTTTTTGCTTTTCGTCGCTGCATTCAGTGTTTTTCAGCTACTTTTACTCTATTGTTGTCCAACACTGTTTACTTTTGTTTTCCATTTCAGTTTTCTTGTGTTTTATGCTCCTGTTTACTTTTTGTTGCTGTTGTTGTTGTATTCAGTCTTTTTCAGTCACTGTTTATTGAGAAAATGAACAATTAATTATTTATCTAATCATTAATAAATGTCCAATATATTTTTTAAACTGTTATTTTTCCGGTTTGTTAAATTACAAACAATAAAACACAAAATGACTGAAAAGAAATTGTACAAAATGTCCTCCTTAAAAAGCAAATAGTTTTTATTCCATTGCAAAATGTGACCATAAAAATGGTTTTACTGTATTTAAATCATCTAAAATATCATCTTACATCTACCTGCTGGTATTTTTACAGTTTTTAAACGTCTTCAGACTACAGAGTTGTTTCTGACACCCTTGTTTCCAGACTTCTACTGTGTTCTTTACATAGTTTTGTTGTTTTCACAGCGTTTATGAGCATCAAGCACCGACTGAGCCGAGCTGACCGGACCAATCAGTGACTGCTGGGATCCTCAAGAACCTTCAAGGTCGGTTTCAAACATGTGACATGAAGAGAACATGAGCTGCAGATCATCACAGCAGGCGGCTCCCAAAACACACGCATCAAACACGCTGCTGGACCGCAAACACGCTACACACACGCTACACACACACGCTACACACACACACACATTACATATATTACATACATGTACACACACACGCTACACACACACGCTACACACACACACACATTACATACATGTACACACACACGCTACACACACACACACACACACCCAGTGTTATTCTAACATGTTCTGGAAAAGCCCGTCTTTGTTCTTGCACCCCTGCCGTCACCATGCCGACAGGATGATGTCACACAGAGCGAGAAATGAACTGAGTTAACCCGAACCACCGAGTGGGTTTAACCAAACAGAACCGGGCCGAGCGGCGGTCGCAGTCTGACCCGGGGAGAGCTTTTGACACCCAAATTACAGGCGAGGAGGAACGTGGAACCTGAGCCCCGAAACCAGATCCGAACCGGGTCTCCGGCCCAGTCTGGGTCCAACCACAGATCTGAGCTGTGATTGGATGCAGGAGGAGGTGGAGGAACCAATCAGGAAGTCCTACGCCATGACAGCAATGCTATGGGGTGCTATTGGCTTAATGCTAACATGCTAACAACAGTGACTATGTTTGCATGCTAATTTGCTAACATGTGCTAACTAGCGCTAAACAGACCAGTTTTTCAGATGTTGGGTTCAGCAGTACCGGACAAATGTAAACAGGTTTAGAGAAATGGTTCTAGAAAAGCATGAAAGTAAACAGAACACCGACCCGATTTTATCAATGTCGGCTTTTATTATTATCTGTAAACACTGATATGTGATACGTCATGTGATCGGTACGGCGGAGAGAAGGAAGGAAGGAGGGAAGGAAGGAAGGAAGGAAGGAAGGAAGGAAGGAAGGAAGGAAGGAAGGAAAAGACTTTCCTTCCTCCGTTCTTCTTTCCTTTCCTTCCTTCCTTCCATCATTCCTTACTTTGTTTCCATTTTCCTTTGTTCCTTCCTTCCTTTGTTATTTCATTCTTTCCTTCCTTCCTTCCTTGTTTTGTTCCTTTCTTTAGTCCCTTCCTTCCTTCCTTCCTTTCTTCCTTCCTTCCTTCCTTCATACATCCATTCTTTACTTTGTTTCCTTCTTCTTTGGTTCTTTCCTTCCTTGTTTGGTTCCTTCCTTCTTTCCATCCTTCAGTCCTTCCTTCCTCCCTTCCTTCCTTCCTTCCTTCCTTCCTTCCTTCCTTCCTGTAACTAACACCACACTAAACCTTCCCCTCTGTGTGACTTGTTGGATTCTGGTTCTGACCGTTCAGTCGTGGTGACTGAGGAGAACGTTCAGTCCAAACAGCAGTTTCTGGTTCTGGTTCTGGTCCAGACCCGTCGTCTGGGTTTTTACTGGAGCTTCCTTCTTTTCTCCAGGCCCCTCAGTCTGAGGTTAAACATTTCGTCGGCGCTGGTCGTCTGACGGGCCTCCGGAGGGTTCAGTGAATTCCTCACTTCCTGTCGGCGTCATAAAACCGATTCCAGCGTCGGGTTCTGTTTGTCCGTCCGTCCGTCACGCCGGTCCCGGCGGACCGACTCTGTGCTCCGGCGGTTTGTGGTCCCAGCGTCCAGTAAAGACTGGGTAATGTTTTCTCTGCTGATGTCATTATTTGTGTATTCTGGGTTTTATTAAAGGCCCTCTGACATGGTTCTGTTGATTACAGAACCAAGTGGTTTCTGTCAAACTGCACAGTCGGGTCTCAGCGAAGCAAACACGTTGTTATCGGAGGAATTTATTACCGATGACACGACGCCCCAGACGGTACCAAACAGCAGAACGCAGCGTTTAAGGCCTCGAAAGTGAGTTTCTGTCACAGTCCATTTCAGCAGGCGGGTCCAACAAGGTCCGGGTTCAGGACGGGTCAAAGCGAAACCATGAAACCAGTAAAACGACGTCTCTGTGTCTGGTGCTGCTCATTAAAGGATCCTTCCGCCCTGAACGGAGGATCCTCAGCCGATCAATGTGTCCAGCAGCAAAATACTGCAGCGCCGGAAACGCAGGCGTCTTAATTAAAAGTGGCCCTTCCTGGTCGCCATAGACAACATGACACCAGCGCCCTGATTGGCTATAGGACACGCATCACTTCCTGTTTTGGGAGGCGTCAATAACGGAGTTTAACAGCGGCTGAGTCTTAATGGATCTCCATCGATGGGCCTAATGAGAGCTCCAGCCGATAATCTGCTGCAGGTTACAGCCAGTTATCGGATCAGCGCCTCTGCAGGGGATCAAGGGCTGGTTGGAGGCCCCGCAGAGGGCCGCGGACGGACTCTGCAGGGTCCGAGTCAAACACGACGGAAACAGCATGTTGTTTATGGACTAGAAGGTCTGTACTGGTTCTGTTTACTGGTTTACTGGTTCTGTTTACTGGTTTACTGGTTCTGTTTACTGGTTTACTGGTTCTATTTACTGGTTCTGCTTACTGGTTTACTGTTTCTGTTTACTGGTTTACTGGTTTACTGGTTCTGTTTACTGGTGTACTGGTTTAATGCTGGTCTGAATACTTCTTCCTTCTTATTTTTTCCTTCCTTCCTGCTGGACTATGAATGTTCACCTCCAACTCTGACCTGTAGAGCACCTCCTCCCTCCTCCTCCTCCTCCTTCTCCTCCTCCTTCTCCTCCTCCCACCACCACCTCCACCCTCCTCCTCTTCTTCCTCCTCCTCCTCCTCCTCCTCCTCCTCCTCCTCCTCCTCCTCCCTGTCCTCCTCCCTGTCCACCTCCTCCCTCCTCCTCCTCCCTCCCTGTCCTCCTCCTCCTCCTCCTCCTCCTCCCTCCCTGTCCTCCTCCTCGGTCACCAGCAGAGACGGATGTCCGGTCAGCAGACTGACCTTTAGCAGCTCGGCCACCAGGGACCCATCCGTCTCCCAGCATGCTCTGCTGCGGCTCTGATGCTAATGCAGCTGTTTATAACGGCCACATTGACTGTATGTAAATACGAAGCGCTCTGATCGATGGACTGAAAGGGTGACGTGACGCACAAACACGGCCGAACGCGGTCCGCTGAGCCGGTTCTGCAGATCCACTCTGAGCTCACCGCGTTAGCGTTTACGTCTGCAGACGGTAAACGAGTTCTAATTAAAACGGACGGACAGACGAACCTGCTGGACTAAGATTTATTTAAACGTCTCAACAAGCCGCAGACTTTTTTTAGTCCACGGGACCACGTTTTTAATCACGCTGAAGTTTTCTCACGCCGTAAAAAACATTTTTAAAATTCATTGTTCAGACAGATTTGACCTGTTTTATGTCACAGATAATATTCAGTAAAAACACACAAAAAAAACCAAATTATATGTTGACTATATTAAAAATACTAATTTTTACAAATACTAATCACCTTTTTATGTTTGACCATAAAATTATAAAGGTTTTACTTTTATTATTTAAATCAGCAAAAAAATATTTGAAGGAAGATTTTGTGTCTTTAATTTTATAGATTTTCTCTGTTTTGTTGAATTACAGATAAAATCAAATAAATTATTAAAAAACACACAAACTAAAATATTCTTACATTAAAAAGAGGCCAAAAATGTACTTTTAAAAAAGCAGTATTTTAACAAATTAATTAATTTACAACAATTTGGGTCCAAAGTTGCCAAAAATTATATTTTAAAAAATGGATTAAAATGTAATTAAATGGTCTAAAAGTAAAACAAAACATGTCCGGAATGACTCAAAAATGACCAAAATAATTTTATATCCAGCTGCTAGCATCAGTATTATGGGATGTATCATAGTGTGAACAGTTTAATGTCTATGACACAGAGTCAGAGAAACAATCACTGGTACCCTGGATGTGGTTCTGGTTCTGATCAGTCACCAGAGGAAACTTTACAAAGTGCATTCTGGGTAAACTTTCCAGGCTCATGTCAGCATGTGTGATGGTGGTTGGTCAGAACCAGTTCTAGACAATGGAAGGACCGTTTACCTCCAGAACCTACCAGAACCACCTACAGACAGGTTACCGTTCTGATATATAACATGTCCGTTTGTCTCTTACCTCCCACAGGTGTCTGGTGTTCCTCATGGCTCCAGACTGCAGTTTGTCCAGCAGCAGAGGAACTCCCTGAAACGGGCCGATCCAGGTTCCCTGAGGGATCCGTTGGGCCGCGCAGATCCCGTAACCCAGACCAGGAACGGTGCTGGTGCACAGACACACCTGCAGCGACACACAGGGTCGGCACGGCAACATGTGATGAGAATAATGAAGAGAGAGAAAGTTCTGATATTTATGGTTCTGCAGCTCAGTCGTGTACTGATCCGTAAACCAGAACCAGAGCGCTGAACTACGAAGCACGATCAGTCTGTTAGCAGGAACGCTAAACCTGAATCCACAGGCTTCAGTGTGACGCTGTGGAGCTAGATCTCCATGGTAACTGATGCTGCGGAGCTAGATCTCCATGGTAACTGATGCTGTGAAGCTAGATCTCCATGGAAACTGATGCTGCAGAGCTGGATCTCCATGGTAACTGATGTTGTGGGCTAGATCTCCATGATAACTGATGTTGTGGAGCTATATCTCCATGGTAACTGATGCTGTGGGGCTAGATCTCCATGGTTACTGATGCTGCAGAGCTAGGTCTACAGTGTAATCTGTATTGCGCTGAATTTTATTTTTCATGTTTAGTTTTATTTCACTTTTGCCTGTAAAGCTCTTTGAATAACCTCAGTAACTATTTAAACTAAACAAAACTTCAGTTCAGTGCTGGTCGACGTTACTCTGGTCTGTAAAGTCAGAACGTTAAACACACAAAGATGGCGGCCGTCACCTCTCGGGGCAGGTCTCTCAGCCAATCAGGGACGTCCGGCAGCGTGACGGGCGCCGCCGAGCTGCTGGTTCCAACGAGGCGGCGGAGGGAGTGAAGCGGCCCGTGCATCGGACACTCGCCGTTCCGGTTGTCGGCGCACATGTCGCATCCTGCTGGAAGACAAGCCGACAGGAAGCCGTGAGGAACAAGAGTCTGGTTTCTGCTGGAAAACATTTAGCTGCTGAGTTCAGGCTGTAAACGTGATCGTTCACCAACAACCTGCTCTGTTGTTTATCTCAGTCCAGTATTTATTGATTTATTGTGTTTATTGTGACTGAAACACATTTTAACTTTAATCAGTGAACGTTCATCAACCTGATGCTGGAACACACCAACTGGTTGTTCTTGTTGCCCCCAAACTCCTTCTCCTTCTTATGGTTAGTTTCTTTATTTCAGCTGTTTAAAGTGCTCTGTTTATATTTTGTAAGTTCTATTTTCTTGTTGCTTTAATGCAAAAAAAACATCTGATTTGAGCAGAGTGACTCTTCTCGGCAGGTGTTACGTTTTTGTTTTTTTGTTGTTGTTGTTGTTGTTTTTAAATCACCAAAACGTCACTGTTTATCAGAAACTTTAAAAACAGACAAAATAATCAGATTTTCAATTTTCCGATGGTCCTTGAATGTGTCACGTCTGACACGTGGTTGCTTTGGGAAAAATAACCAAACCTCAGCTCAAAAATCAGGATTTTATTAAAATCTTCTTATTTTATCAATAAAAAAAAGATTCTGCTCGACAGACGGAGCTGTGATCAGGAGTCATGTGACAGAAACATCAGAGTTTGAAGTGAAGGAATGTTTCCACAAATCAAACCTGATCAATAAAATAAACACAGGAACACCTCGTCTATAAATTCATATTTTTACAGTATCTGTTGACATTTAGAAAAACTTTAGATTCCAGTTTTTATTATTTTTTCTAATATAAATACACAAAGAATTTAAGTTTTTAATTTTGCTGTTGTGTTATTTCTGTCATTCTCACTGTGTCCTACTGACAGAGTCATTACTGTTATATTATATTATTATAATAAATATAGGTATATTTTATAGGAAGACGTCTCTGAGTTCTGTCCTCCTTCACGTTGTTCTGGTTCGTAGAGCTGAAGGACTTTATGTGAGTTAAAATGCGACTGGACTGAGAAACTGGACTTAATTCAAACCATTTTCTCTTTAAAGACACAAACAAACAACTTTAACCTTAAATCCTAAAACCTTTGAGGAGCTGCTGACTGTCTGAACGCAGCCTGGAAATAAAAACATGTTGGAAAAAAAAGCTGATTTTAGGGTTAAAGTTCCACTAAATCCACTAAAACATGCAGAATAAACCTGATGTGACAGAGCTGTGAAATAAGTTCATCAATGTGGAAACAACAAAACCAACAAAACGAATCTCCTGATATTTACAATCATAACTTCAGTATATTTATATCTGTTCTATTTCATTATAGTTTCACCTTCAGATGATTTTCTTGTTTAATTTATGATCGTTTGTGTTTAAAATGTTAAAAAAAAAAGCGTTAAATGTCTTGTTTTGATTAAATATTCACTTTAAAATCATTTCAATTTCACGCATTTCAACACAGAACGTCTGATTTTTAGTGTTTCTGCTCATAATGAGCGATAAAACTCGTCATTATGGACGTAAGCCGACAGCATAAAGTGTTTTGTTGCTGCTTATCGTCAGAACTACAGTTTGAGTCTCGTTTAAATCGACGGATTCGTCCGTCTGAGGGAAAAACTGGACGTGAGGATCAACGCCGGAGTCCAGAAAAAGTCCAGAGGAGGCCTGCAGTGTTTGTGCAGGTTGAATATGTGGGAATTAGCGAGCGTCAACATTTACTCAGAGATGCAGGCTGACAGTAATGGATGCTAATTGACTGGAGCAACATAATGAGAGATGATTATCTGCAGAGGAAAGTCCCACAGAGCCGCTCGTGTTGTTCCAAAGCTCTCGTTCCCAAAGTTAAATATCCGTCCGGCGGCGCTGCGTTTACACCGTGATGGATTCGGATCCATTAAACCGGATCGTTTAGGAGCCGCAGCTTCACGCTCCAGCAGATGGGAAAAATTCTTCCACTTCATTAAACCCAGATTTAAAACAACAACGACCCTCTGGTTGGAGGTAAAGCTGCAGACCAGCGACACCAACGCAAGAAACCAGCAAATAACCAAATACAGACGTGGAGACGTAACTAAAAATCAGAAAAACCCAAAACAGGACGACCGGAGTGACGACGAACCGCAGAGCGCTGCAGCACGAGTAGAAGAAACCGATTTATCTGGTGGTCGGGACCAAGTGGAGAAAATAACGGAGCAGACCGAAGCCAAGCAGTCACTGGACACAAAACTACCACAAAGAGACACAAAACAACCACAAAGAGACACAAAAAGGGAAACAAAAGTACCACAGAGAGACCAAAAATACCATAAAAGAAACACAAAAACACCAAAACGAGACAGAAAACAACCACAGACTGACACAAATCAGCCAAAACGAGACACAAACAGACCAACAGTGACCAAAAACAGATCAGTTGAACACTGAGATGGAAAAACAAACTAAGGAGACGCATAAAGATCACAAAGAGACACAACATGACCTCCAAAAGAACACAAAAAACAACAACAAGAGAGAAAAATAAGACACGAATCAACTAAAAACAGACGTTAAAAGAGGAAAAAGAGACACAAGAATACAGACAGTGAGCAGAAACACACAAAGTGATCATCAAGAGACAAAAACAGGCATCTATGGACGCAAAGCCACCACAAATAAAAACAAAAGCACCACAAATAAAACCAAAGCCACCACAAATAAAACTAGAACGACCACAAAGAGACAGAAAACGACCAAAATGAGACTCTTACAGGGACCAAAAACAGATAAAGTGATGACAAAGAGACCACAAATACACACTATAATGTAAAATATGAGACACAACATGAGAAAAATGAGACACAACGTGAGACAAAAAATGAGACAAGATAGGACAAAAAAATTAAAAAAATGAGACCAAAAATTAGATGAAAAATTACAAAAATTAGACACAAAGTGAGACAAAAATGACCAGAAAAAGACACAATATGACCAAAAAAATGAAACAAAATAGAACAAAAAAATGAGACAAATAAGACACAGAATGACCAAAATGAGACAAAATTAGATGAAAAGTGAGAAAAACGAGACACAAAAAGTCCAACATGAGTCATCAAACAGCCACAAACAGACTGAACCTGCTGCAAACAGTTTGTTTGTGTTCAGACGAATTCTAATAAAGTTTTGTTGAACCAACAAACGACAGGAAGCAGCTTTTCAAACTACAACCTCATTAATGACGGTTAATTAATTCTCATAAAAGTCCAGCTGCTCCACTCGTTTACTGCACATGATTTAAGAGGATTCGTTTTACTTAATGACCATAATTATGAGCTTTAATTGGTGGATGGAAGCTGCTGTTGATTTGCTGTGTGATGGAGGAAACATGAGCTCCTGGACTCACGCTGAAGACATCAAGTTACCCAGTCCATAGTTTTAAACCAAAGACACACAAAACCACCACAAAGACACACAACATGCAGACAGCAACCAAAAACAGTTCAAGTGACCAAAAGACAGGAAAAAATGTAGAGACACAAAATACAAAACGACAAACTGAACACATAGAGACACAAAAAGACACAAAAAGACACAAAAAGAATCACAAACTCAATGATTCCTAAGAGCCAGAAAACATGTAGAGACGTAAAAAGAGCACAGATGATGTAAAATTATTATCAAGAGACAAAGAAATACCACAAAGAGACACAAAAATACCAAAAAGAGACACACAATGGCTGTAAAGAGACACAAAACAAAGACAAAAAGACACAAAAACATCAGAAAAAGACATAAAAACAACACAAAGACACACAAAATGACCAAAAACAGGCACCAAATGACCATAAAGAGACACAAAACATCATAAAAAAGACATAAAATGATGAAAAAGAGACACAAAACACCCGTAAAGCAACACAAAATGACCACAAACAGACACACAAACTCCT